TTGAATCTAATCTTAAAGCCTGGAATTCTGCCCTCCCTGGAGCAGCACTACCTATAATGACGCTGATTTGTTTGCTCCTAAGATTGGCCCCACTGTCCAACACCCCAGCTCATGGAGGGGTTTGTAGCAAGTGCCAAGCCAGGGCTGGCTCCTGCAGTGACAGCTCATGGAGCCAGAGCTGCAGCACAGTCTCATCCCCAGCTACTGCTGGGCACTCTCCTTATGGCCCACCAGTGCCCATGGGGGTGGTCCACAGGCCAACACAGCAATACTTTTTGGCAGGATTCTGAAGATGGGGGTGGGGGCTGGAATGGAGTTTTTCAGATAGTTTCTACCCAGTGCTAGCACAGATGCCAGCCTGTTTTTCAGTGCAGGTGTACTCCAGTTGTCCCTGGCAGGGCAGGAGCCAAGGGCAGCTCAACTGAGCCAAGGTGGTGTGGTCTCACCGAGCCTCCCGCTGCTGAGCACCAGCACAGTTTATGTTCTATTTACTTCATTCTGACAAGCTGTTTCAAAATAAAAAGTTATCCACCATAATGTTCACTTTTTGCCTGTGGTTTATAACATGTCTGCCATTGCAATCCCAGCACTAACCTATGCTTCCTGAGAAAGAGCTGCAGCTGTGCAAGGGCATGATGCAAGCACCATGCTCCAGGAGCACAGAGCCGTCAAAGCCATCAGAGCTGTCTCTTCTCCCAGGGATCCCAGTTCAGCGACAGGTCCTGCTAGCCAGCCAAGGGCACAGGCCTGCTCTTCCCATGCCCTGGCAGGAGGCTGCATCTCAGGCAAGGTATTGAGGGCAGATGCCTTGGCAGACAGGCAGCCACCCCTGTAGGCATAAGGTCCCATTGGGTGTGCAGGCTGGTGGCTAACCCTGCCTGTCTCTAACACCTGGGGAAGGGGCTGGAGCCAACAGCAGTAATGGCCTGGCGTGGGGTGTGCAAACCAGGCAACAGTAGGTGACAGTAAGTCTTTGGAAGTCCTGAGTTGTCTTTTACAAGAGATGATGCTATTGCTGAAGCAAGAAAATTAAATAACCTTTCCTCCCAGCAAAGAAGAGTGCAGAGCTGTGCAGGGACCACTGGTCTGGCACAGATGCTTTCTTGCTGTCACGCTTTTTGGTGCCCACAGGGATGGAGATGAACAAATACCCAGGGTCGTATGGAGAGACCCAGGGCTCCACTCCCGGGAGGGTGCTCTTCACTCCCAACTGGAGTCATGAGCAAGGATTCTGGGCCGGGGGAAAGGACCCCCCACTAAGCAATGCCCAGAGCTCATCTCTGGAGCAGGCAGGCAGAACTGCTCTTGGGGTGTGTACATGGACATGCCATGGACAGGAACACAAGTACAGGACCACCCAGCAGCCAACACCCTCTGCTCCTGCCCCTCATCCCAGGCAGGAACCACCTCAGCCTCCCTCAGATTCCCAAAGCCCCTTATTTCCCTTCTGCAGCAAAACCCCAGTGGGAAAGAGGACTCAGCACAGAACAGCCACACACGGGTCCTGGCTAGAGGTGAATTGTATTGTTACAGGGCTGAGGCTTCCCCCGCTGCAATTGCCCAGCAACAAATGCCCAGTCAGAGCTCACCTGCCTTGTCACTATCTCACCAGCCTGAGGACCTGAACCTGATTCTCCAGACCTCCCCAAAGGTTGATGGTTCCCTGGGTCTGAGCTGGGGCTGCAGAAGTCATGCTTAGCCCTCTGCACAGGTACAGCACAGCGCTGCTAGTCACCTGCCTGTTTTGCTGCTGTCAGTATCAACAGGCTGGCAAACCTGCAGAAGTCACCAGCAGCCCCATCCAGATGCAGGAGCAGCTGATGCCAGGGCGTCTGGTCTGGCCCCACAGAGGGGACATGAAATCTCTCAAAACCATTACCAGCACCAAAAGGACAACCTGTTTTTCCCCTGCATAGGTTTCTGCTCAAGGCTGTCCACCCAGCAATCAGCCAAACTCCTGGCTTCAGACCACATAGTTACGGATCACAGTTTTTGCCAGTAAAGTCAATGGGATCCAGACTGGGCCATCCTAGGTTTTTCAAGAGCAGCTGGGAGCAGGGCGAGGGAACCAGCAGTGGGATCAAGCTGGAGAAGGAGAGATCCTGTGACTAAAAAACAGCCACTGAGCTGCAGCAGAGCTGGATCCCATCCCTGCCCAGCCTTACACCTAGAGGCCATCACATATGTGCCCAAATCAGCACATGAAGATATCTGCAAGCCTGACTCTCACATCCCGTAATTCCCCGGCATCAGGGCATCCCAGCCACAGCTGAACCTGGCACGCACTTTGAGGTTTCCTCTTAGCTCAGCAGCTCTGGCACAGACACAAACATGTAACCATATGAACAGTGCTCAGCCACTCAACTTCCCAGCACAGCATCAGCATCTCCCCACCTCTCTGCCTGACAGCCCAGACATGCCACAGGCAAATATGTCACTCTGAGACATACAAACTTTAATATTAAAATAATTTTGTATAAAAATACTTTCGGAGACTGATGGCAAGCAGTCTTCCATGCACCACAGTAGGCATTCGAGCCCTGCAGACTGGTCAGAGAGGAAGCCAGAGCAGAGCCAGAGCAGCAGGTACAGGGAAACACAGCCAGCCCTCCTGCAGATAGGAGGCGGCAGCAGAGCTGGCTCCAGAGCCAAAGAAGCACACTGGCACCTGTGCCAAACACAGCTCTCTTGTTCTTGCTGTTTCCCTCCAGGGAAACACAATGCCTCAGCCCTGGTGAGCAAGAGGGTCTCTGCCTGAGCCCGAACAGTCCCCAGCCCCAAGCCAAGCCCAGGACCCATGGAGAGGCACAGCTGGCACTGGGACACCCAGTCCCTCCCAGGCAGATACAGAACAGCAACCCTCTATATCTCTCCTAAGTCCTCGTAGACAGGCGACAAGCTGCACTCATCCACAGACTGCTCTTTCTCCTGCAGATGCTGAGGCTTCACCACCTTGCTGTACAGCACCTCCACATTGTTGTTGTTGCTGGTGTTGAGGCTAGGTTTGGTGACTGCCTTCTCTGGAGCAGTGTTCCCCCACCGCTTCCCAGGGTCCTCAATCCTCTCTCCACCTTTGGGAATAAAGGCTATCTGGGGCTTGGGGGCAGGAACTGGCTTGGGGCTCTTGGCCTTGGTCTGGAAGGCAGGCACGGAGTAGTCGTCAGTGCTGGGGTTGTAAGGGTACTCATAGCCACCCTTGCCGTCGTGGCCCTGGATGCGCCAGGCCTCGCCCGTGGGCCGCGCTTCATCGTAGATGCAGGTGACGGGGGGCAGCGAGCGGGGAGCTCGACCCTCGGGCTCATCATAGATGTGCTCCCTCTGCCCAGGCGCCGAGGGTGCCTGGCTTCGTCCCTCGGCCCGTACCTGCTCG